TGGGAGGGGGGACCGGGATGGGGAATACATGTAAATCCATGGCTAATTCATTTCAATGTATGACAAAAACCACTGCAATGTTGTAAAGTAATTAGCCTCCAACTAATAAAAATAAATGGGAAAAAAAAAAAAAGCAGTGTGATTCTACGGGCCACGGGGGAAATTCTACTTGGCGACAGTCTCACAGGTACCTGTACACACAGACTTGGAGCACCATCCCTGGTCACAGCGGCCCCGGCCTGAGGTTTGTCTGGATAACCCACGGCATCCAGAAGGCCTCAGTGGGTGGGAAGTTTTGAATTTTAAAGCCTTGCGATTTACTGGCTTCTAGGGGGACTGGTATGCTCCATTGAGGTTGCTTCCTTCAAGTTCTTCTCCAATGAAGAACCATGGTTCTAGTTTTATGGCATGAAAATAAATCACTCGTGTGACTCTTGGGAAGGACCTCTCCACGGCGGTCCTCCCTGCTGGGCTGCCCAGTCCGCAAGGGCAGCAGCATCTACCTCCCGTGTCCTGCGCGCCCCATGCACTTGCTGAACGAACGCCAGTGAATGCCAGCCTCATGCCTACTCTCTGTGAGCAGGGAGAACCGAATCCAGAGGATCACAGCCTCCATACCCGACTTTTAGCAGCACAGGGTTCAAATGCTAAGGTAAGCTCCTCACCATGCAAACCCCAACATGTGAATGCTTAAATCTCAACCTTTCACGTGAAAGGGTCACCCAGCCAACAAGTGACCTGGATGTCATGAGGTCATCTGGAGTGACGTCATCCAACAGGGAGACAAGATGAGTTATGCCCAGTGAACTTGTTCTGTCTATTAAAAGAGATGAACCCACACTAAGCCGAGGCCTGGTAACAAGTTTAAACAGTGGCTCTTAAGTTATTACCAGATGTACACTTCTATTTTTGGCCACATTCTGTGGCTTACTGGATCTTAGTTCCCCATTCAGGGACTGAACCCAAGGCCCCTGCAGTGGAAACATGGAGTCCTAACCACTGGACCGCTAGGGAAGTCTCCCTTGAGGTACATTTTTAAAACAAGCTCTGCTATTCTTCAAATGAAGCCTTTAAAAGGCTAAGGACTGGAAGGTATAAAAAAGTTTTTACTTGCTACGATTTATTCCCTTCTCTAATATCTAAGGGCAAAACAAAACAGGTAAATTGGGCTTTCATTTCACTGTATTACAATCTCCTGGCAGGCCTCAAAAACTTCCTGACTTCATTTAAGAAGATAGCCATCTCAGTGCCTACAGGACATTGCAGGAATTCACAGACTGGCTCGGCCACCTCCTCCGGCAATGGCAATGGTTCTCATCAATACTTTGCAATGGGTTTGTTGCCTAACCCGCTTAAACACTGGCCCACAACCCCTTCAGGAACGAGTTCTGCTCTGACCTGGCTCAGGGAAGGCAGAAGTTACCAGGACCCACTTGGACTGCTGCTGCCCAGGTTCTGCCAGTCTTCTGTCCCTCCCCCAGTCTTCACCTCCACCCTGTCCTTGATAGTTTCTGATCCTACATCCAACTTGGGTAGGGGACCCTGGACTCCATTTCTTACCTGACCTGCCCCTTTTCCACCTTTCATTTCTGCCACTACCTTTGCCTGCAAATCCATTTTCAGAAGAGTCTGCTCCCGGGTTCAGAAGGGCTAGCCACTGGCTCATCAGATTTATCTACACGAACCCAAAGCTTCCTTATTTACCCTGCTTTATCCTCTCTGCACCCCCCCTCCCACCCCCGAACAAAGAATCCTAGTTAAAATACACAACTTTCAACCACTGTTAGGAGGCAGCATAACAGAGTTTCAGACCTTCCTCTTACTATGTGGTATAATTTCACCTGGGTGGGATCCTGTTGTTCTCTCATCTCTAGAATGCGAGGGTTCAAAGAGAAGAGCTTTAGGGAAAAAGAAACTCAACATTTCCTGAACACTTCTCTTGGGCTCAGCTGGACGCTGCCTGTATCTATGCAGCCTCTCAACATGGTGGGAGGGAAGGCCCTCGTCATTTCTATTCTCCAGATGGGGAATCTGAAGGTCAGGTTGGGTGAGCCTGCCCAGGGCTGCCTGGCCCCAGCAGAGCAGACCGGGGGAGCCTCAGCTACATCCCCCTGCTTCTCTGGTCCTTTCTGGCTCCGACACACTCTCCTGTGCCCTGGAACGGCAACCACCACAGCCTGGGCCCTGACCAGTCCCCCGGGTTTCTGGTCACTCGAGAAAATGCTGTTTTCACAAGGGGGACATGGGGACCTCAATTTCAGAGAAGACGTTTGTGGCTGTTGTTTTAGTCACTAAGTTGTGTCTGGCTTTTGCAACCCCAGGGACTGTGGCCACCCAGGCACCTCTGTCTGTGGGATTTCCCAGGCAAGAACACTGGAGTGGGTTGCCATTTCCTCCTCCAGCGTATCTTTCCCACCCAGGGATCGAACCCAAGTCTCCTGCATTGGCAGGCAGATTCTTTACCACTGAGCCACCTGGGAAGCTCCGAGAACAGGTTGAAACCAGTTAAAACCAAAAAACTCGCTCATCACTTGAGTGTGATTAAAATAATAATAATAATAAAACAGATATACACAGAAAAACGTGCTTCTGTGCTCTGTTCAAAGTTATGGGGAATAGCACAGAACCCTGTGGAAGAGCTCTTCCCCGACTCACATTGTTGCAACTGAGGGCTGCTCCCCAGACAGGAAACAGCTCTCTGAACAGGGTCCTGATCAAACCAGGCTCCACAATTTAAGAGAGACTTTTGGGATTCTGCGGCCAACTCCAGCTTTTCTGTCCCATTCTGCAGCTCATAGCTGCATCCTCTTTCTGGCACAGGTCTGTAGCACGGGTGCGGACATCTGCTTTATTATCCTGATGTGTAAAAGGAAATTTTAGAAACTTTAACTTATCCAGAACTTCTGTGCTGCTGCTTCAAACAAAAAAAAGTGTAAGTGGGAAACAGCCAGTGTGGCTAATGATAAGATGCAGCCAAACTCAAAAAGGCAGATTCTTCCCATGTTAATAGCCACATGAAGTTTACACAGAGAGGAGGGTGAAGAAACTGTTCATGTGAAATGGGAGGGGGTATGAGAGTGGGGTTGTGCAAATGGTGCTTACTTGACTTCAAAGTAGGAACAAAGCAAGGAGACTTTAATCTGGTGATCAGACCCTATGACAGTCTAAGATAGACAGGCTCTGGACTAATACTTAATGAATTAAGCTCCTATTGCTGTCATGGAGGCCCATATGACAATGCTAGCAATGTAAAAGCATCTATAATTATGAAGTATCACAACTCCCAAGCTAATCTTAAGTTCAATATTTTAAGTTCTTTTTTAGAAATGCAAAGCAAATTTTGTACCTCTTCCTAAGACCTACAAGTTCTGAAAATCAGAGCTAAATCTACTATTCCTATAAAGAGAAAAAAGGAAGACCATATACCAAGTAACAGAATTAGAGATTTTAATTTTCTTTCTGTTCATCTGAAGTTTTAAATTGTTCTATAAAGATGTATGATTATTTTAAAAAGGCTCATTGACTTTACACTAAGCTGGAACTTAAAAAACACACTGCCTCTCCAATTTCTCATACAATAAGAATTTGGCTTTTTTACTCTTTACAGTTACTGCTAAATTATAAATATCTTAAAGTTGCACTTGCCAAGGACTGTTTTCATAGTGATGGCAATGCTACTATGAGACACCAGGTCCTCTGCCAGAAGAGAAGAGATGCCATAAACTTCACACATAGTAGGAAAAATTAAATTATTCTCACGATTGGTATACGACTAGCTGTTGTGAAATACCAAGTTCATCTTCTAACTAGAAATGAAGTACAAAGCCAAGCTGCCTCAGCAGCGGTTCACTCTATTTTTACGTTTTGGCATGAATTAGACTCATATCTTCTATATATTTTAAGAGTTTCACATTAATGAATCCAAGAGACAGTCTGAAATTAAACAAAGAAGCGAAACCCTTTAAGTAGCAAAAAGGTATTAGTCAGGCACGGGTTTATTTGGAAGGACACTCTCCCCCCATCATGGCCAACAGCCTGGGTTGGGGGGGTGGGGGGTGGGGCGGTGACCTTTCACCACATAGCTAAAAGTAAATAAGGTGATTCTGTCTTTCACAATGTTCTTCTTTTGCAAGTCATAAGTCCAGAAAATGAAATCTGACTTGGGGAGAGGAAAGCAGCAAACGTCAAAGCAGACAGCAGGTGAAGAGTCAAAGCATCTGTGACCGCCAGGCTGCTTCATCTTTGCTGCTGAGCTTTTAAGAGATGTGCGAGGAGAGGAAGGTAGAGCGGGCACACAGAGAAAAGAATCTTTCTGGAAGGACCTTTAGACTGCCCACTCATCTCACCCAGGAAGCCCTAATTATGGAACATCACTCACCACCTAGATTTTTATAACAATGAGAACATGACCTTTTGTTCACCCAAGTTAAACGGCAAGCACGGTACTGAACTCGACTTCTTGAATGTCCTTGTTTTTTCTCGCCCATCCTAAATTCTGTGGCTCCATTATTCCTGAAGGCTCCTAGACTGGCCTCATTCTATCACTAGTAGGAATGCCCGAGTCCCTTTCAAACTCTGCATGATGTTCTCCAAGTATCAGACAACCACAGGTGAAATCCTTCTTTCTCTAACGACTGACGACCCTCTTCTTGGCTGAGGGAGGGGACTCTGTGCCTGCCTTCTCCCCTCTCAGGGCCCTCTGGGCAAAGCATACCGCCCAGCTCTGGGCAGGAGCCCCATGCAGCTTGGGATAAGCCTCTGCTCTGCGTGACGTGGGCAGACACCTAACCAGCACCACCACACGCATCCCTCTGTCCTGTATTTTGACCTCTTCCTCTCATTGCAGCTGAAGTTCTGTCTGGGGAGCACATTTCAGTTTGCAAAGTGCCCTGGTGAACAAATATTTGCTTGGGATTGTGATCCTGCTGGATGTCACCATGATGGGGCCTAGAAACTGGGGAGGGAGGCAGGAAAGCTGGGGGCGGCCAGGTCCCACTCACCGGCACCTCCACTGACTGCATGGCCAGGTCGCATGGCGGCTTCAGGGCCCGTGGCCGCGTGGCATACCAGAAGGTGGTGAGCGCCGCGAATGCGCCAAAGCCCATAAGCGTGTTGGTTGGAAGGGTGCGCACGTACTGCCGGAAGTCAACCAGCTCTGGCAGCCGAAAGTACCGGAACAGCTCGTGGGCTTGCATCGTCCTGGATTGGCAGCGTCCTAAGCCACAATCTGTGGGAGAGAAAAAGGTCATGTTCATTCCAGGGAGGAGGGAAGCTGTTCCAAACTCCCCAAGGCCGACGACCATCAACTCGATAATTGGCGCATCAGTGGGGGCAGTAGGGCCACGGGCTGATGGCTCAGGCCTCCTTCTCCTGGCTGTCAAATCCCACTTTTCTAAAAGCACTTTAGGAATTCATTTTACTTCTGTCGGCTTGCGTAAAGTTCTCATTATCCACATTCAAAAGATTTAGCCACTCAGAATTCTTGCTGTAAAATGTTAACATAAGGGGCATGAGTTACCATTTTCTTGTCTTACATTCTCTCCCTGTTCTCTTTCACCTGATCAAACACACTCAACTCTCAATATCAAGGCAGATGGGGAGAAGGACAGAGAGGCAGACACAAGCCCAAACCACCCAAGGGCCATCAGTTTTCTCACAAAATGCAGCACAAGCTCCCCAGCTGGTGAAACAGGTCACTCTGGGTTTCGGGGTGTGTGTGAGGTGTCTCTCACGTTCCCCACACTCTTTGTAGCATAAAAGCAGCCACGTGGATGCAGGGGAACCTGGAGTCAGCTATCCTGATAAAACAGTGTCTTTTATATTCCTCAAGCTATTATAGCTAAATAATAAAAGGGTGTGCATAAGTATCTAGAGATATTCATTCAGCAAATATCTAGAGAGATTACAGAATAGTCTTTGAAAGAAAGTGTAAAATAGTACTTAAGATCCCAGATTCTAGAGCCAAATCCTGCCTCCCCGGTTCATTCGCTGAATAACTGGGGACAAATCACTCCCCTCTCTGTCCTCAGTCTCTTCATTGGTAAAAACTGCACCTATGTCGTAGGGCTTTTATAAGTACTAAATGATTCACATAAAGAACTTAGAATGGTGCAAGGCACCACAATGTGTTCAGTTAAGCTGGGCATTATTATTATTTCCTCTACTAGTATTGTATATTTGTCCTGCATGAGGAACAATAAGAGATACAGTAATAAAAATGGACATTTATCTATAAGGAGTTTACATGCAAAATTAAGAAGCCAAAACACACAGAAGAAAATCAAATGAACAGCCACACACACACACACAAACACACATATATATAGAAAAGCCTCTAATTGAATATTATAGACAATTTATAAACATATAATGATATAAAAAATTAATGTGCAGTACAGAGAAGAAATAATTCTAATTAAAAAATGATTGATGAGTAACACTCTCAAGTATGTTTGGCATACATATGGCAAGAAATCCTAGTAAACTATGTGAAAGACTTTTCTCAAAAAACTCCCCCGTAATGTAGTAAGTGGTAACCTTTATCATAAATTCAGATAGTAGTTTGAGCTCCTTACTACATGTGCTTTTAAATAGCTAGGTCCCAAGACTGAAAATAGTTTCCTCCTTCCCCCTCAGATACAGATATCCTCTTCAAATTTAAATCTATATTATTGTATAAATAGCTTTACAGAGTTGCAGAATATCAAGAGCTTTCACTGGCCATCAGGACTTCTAGAAGGCAATGTTACATCCAGCCTTGTGTTCCCACAGCCCAGGGCAGGCGTACAGAAAACACACATACATATACACAGACACAGACAATTTCCAGCTTTAACATGACAACAGAGAAGAAGCGGGTTAAGTGCATTCCTTCAGGTCACAACTGTGGAGAGAAAGCACTCACAGAGCCACTCACCATCTGTGCCACCAACAGCTGACTGCTGGGTGACACACCAGCCCCAGAAAGGGACCAGGACATGGGGGTGGGGCCAGGGGTAGGGCTGGGAGTGTCCGCGTTCAGCCGTTGCCTGCACAGCCTGCCAAGGTCTCTCTGGGCATTCGTCACATGCCCAGTCCTGCGCTGCTGCCCACTGGGCTAAAGGTAACTAGCAGACAAAATCCATACGTGACTTCTCAGAACAGACGGTGGAGGGTGGGCCAATGAGGAGCTGGGAGCAGTCACCCCACTGCTCCACCCATGGGCAGGGACAGGCATTGGTTAGTGTCACTGCTGGTGCCAGTTCTGAAGACAGACACTGGTTTCTTTATGCTCGCCTCCCCGGTAAAGAGAGACAATGGGCATATTTAAAAAACAAAACAAAACACTGAAATGAATGATCAGATGCTGGCTGGTCATGTCAAACAGACATGAGACAGATCAAGAAAGGAACTGATTGTCAGCTGTACGCTGACAGCAGATTTATTCTAGATGAATTCATAGCTCGAACTGACCTACCCCAGCCATTCACCAAATGTGAGCATCTAGTGTAGGCTGAGGGCTGGAAGACAGTGCTCATGACCTGGTCGGGGCTCTCAACATGTTAACCAGCTACTGGGGGAGACTGCTGTTGTTCACTCACCAAATCGTGTCCAACTCTTCATGACCCCATGGACTGCAGCACGCCAAGCTTCCCTGTCCCTCACCATCTCCCGAGGTTAGCCCACGTTCAAGTGGGGGAGATACAAACTTTAAAAAAGCAGTTTGTAGGTGGGGTAAGTGTTAGCACTGTTAAGATCCAGTGATCAGGGAAGACCCCTCTGAGGAGAGGGTGTTAACACCGAGACTTTAAGGATAGGCAGACAGAGTCCAGGTCCTAGTAGCCCCAAGCGGTTAGATTTCATAAACAATATTGCAATTCTATGGATGCACAGAAACATGCATAAAATGTGCATACCTCCTTTTCCCTCCAATCATTCTGGCTGTCTTCATCACCCATGGCACTTCAAGTTTAGTACACATGTTCCTGCCCTTCCCTCCTGTCTCCCCAAAGTCCTTGAAATCATTTTCATAAAACCTAGATCATGTGAATTTAAAGGAGTTGTTCAACAGACTCACAGCCCTGTGTGAGAATGTTAAATCATCCCCCCATAAACAGACACTGTCATAAACAAGTGATTAACTTTTTTATCTTCTGTTCAGTTCAGTTCAGTCACTCAGTCATGTCCGACTCTTTGCGACCCCATGAACCACAGCACGCCAGGCCCCCCTGTCCATCACCAACCTCCGGAGTTCACCCAAACACATTTTCATTGAGTCAGTGATGCCACCCAACCATCTCATCCTCTGTTGTCCCCTTCTCCTCCTGCCCCCAATCCCTCCCAGCATCAGGGTCTTTTCAAATGAGTCAGCTCTTCGCATCAGGTGGCCAAAGTACTGGAGTTGCAGCTTCAACATCATTCCTACCAATGAACACCCAGGGCTGATCTCCTTTAGGATGGCCTGGTTGGATCTCTTTGCAGCCCAAGAGACTCTCAAGAGTCTTCTCCAACACCACAGTTCAAAAGCATTAATTCTTTGGTGCTCAGCTTTCCTCACAGTCCAACTCTCACATCCATACATGACCACTGGAAAAACCATAGCCTTGACTAGATGGACCTTTGTTGGCAAAGTAATGTCTCTGCTTTTTAACATGCTGTCTAGGTTGGTCATAACTTTCCTTCCAAGGAGTAAGTGTCTTTTAATTTCATGGCTGCAATCACCATCTGCAGTGATTTTGAAGCCCAGAAAAATAAGGTCAGCCACTGTTTCCACTGTTTTTTATCTTAAGCATAAGTAATAGCCAAGCTACAAGCAGACAGCATTATACTAAGAAAGAAATGTCTATTTCTAGAAATAAGTCTAGGAAAGAAAACTTAAAAAAAAAAACAACAACAGAAAATTGCTGATTCAGTAGCATCCCTGCAAAAACATTTTATTAGGTACTAATCTGTAAAGCTAAGGAGTTAAATCCAGCTAAACTCTTATCTTTACTGGGGTACGACAACAAATTTATCGCTGCTGTTCAATCACTTAAGTCATGTCCGACTCTTTGAGATCCCATGAACTGCATCACACCAGGAGGCTTCATTGTCTTCACCATCTCCCGGAGCTTGCTCAAACTCATGTCCATTGAGTTGGTGATGTCATCCAACCATTTCATCCTCTGTCACCCCCTTCTCTTGCCCTCAGTCTTTCCCAGCATCCAGGTCTTTTTCCAATGAGCTGGCTCTTCACATCAGGTGGCCAAAGTATTGGAGCTTCAGTATCAATTTAATTCACACTTCTTAGATGGCAGCCAGGTAAAAAGCTGCAAATCAACCCTGCTGAACAAACTGGTTAACGTCGTACATGGGAAAACTAAAGTCCACACAATGAAGAACAAAGGCAATATCTCATACAGGACCACATAAGGAACAACTCTTAGATGTGAATGGGGGGGACATTATAAATCATTTCCCTTCTGATTAACTGCTTTTAAGGAAAAGGCTCTTGGGCTATTTAGAAATGGAGGCAGACCTACAAGCAAAGAAAATTGCCCGCAACAAACAGCCTTTAAATGCTCAAGGTGAACACAAACAGCACCCTTTGAAACAGTTGCATCAGGTCTTCTAGAAGTATCACAAGACGCACATACTAGCCAACATGTGGTTATAAAATAAATAAAACCCAGATTTTATTACCGTTCCAATGGTGCTTTAGCTGGAATAGTTTCCCTAATTTGTTTCAAAAGCAAATTTCTACATCATCATTTCAGGAAGTTTTTATAGCCAAGGCATATAATCATGGTACAGCTTGCTAAGAACATGATTCAATCAGCTTAAAGGCTTAAGCAGCCAGTATATCTTGACAACACAGGCCTAGTGACAGCCTGCCTCTCCTTCTCTAAAGCTACTCCCACACCTACAGAACGTGAGCTCACTCAGCTGAGTCTTCCGAATCTCCTATAGAGCTGGAGTCTAAAACTACGGACGACAGGGAGCATCCCAAGGGTGGGAAAAACCTGGCAGGAGCTCAACACAAAGAACCAGAGTGAAGGACGCCTTTAAATAGATGGAAACAGATGTAGAGGCAGGGGAATCAAAACCCACTGCATGACAGTCAGAAAACATAAGTCCTAGTATCCACCTGCCTGAACTTTGGGAAGAAGAGAAAAACAATACAGTATCAATTTTGTGTTTTGGAAAGGTTTTCACCTCGCGTGTCTTATCTAAACAT